TAAGCCTGTCAAGTGAATGGTTCCTTGAGCAGGACTTGTGAGGAGAATAGACGCCGTTTATTCTTTAAGCAAATGCTACTTGACATAATGTTTATCTGAGATAAAGCCTATAAAATGCTTTAGAGAAAAACCGGCTTTCAAGTTATCTACGTCAATATCAGACTAAAGTATTTTATTTATTACTCAAAAGAAACGGAAACGATCCGTAGTTAGATAGAAAACATAAGCCGTTTATCTCATTTCAGATACCCTAAAACTGCCTTACATTCCAGTTGGTCGTGTACGGCGTGAGTCCTGTCACACCACGAGCTGTAAAGTTAGGGACCCAGTTTATTGGGGAAATCGTAATATTTTACTATTCGATACTTGAGCCATGCAGCCTTGTAGTCTTTTAGTTCATTTAGTTGTGAATACAAGTAAATGCATGTTTTAAAATTTAGGCCGGACAAAATTAGCACCATTTAAGTCTTCTGAAAATCACATGCATGGCGCTTAGACCCAAACTCATTGCTCCACTACAACTTGGATGTACTCTTCTCACTTGGATACCAGGTTGGGACTAATGCTCAAAGTGCGCCCTCATTAAAACGCACTTTCTTAGCCTCAAAAGCATAGTTTAATTTGTCAGACCATCTAAACCCGTGTTCTAACTGAAGGATTTCACGTCACTTAGGACGTACTTAAAGCCTGGGCAACTCCTTGGTAGAGCGCAGGCACTCTGAAACACACAGACCAACAAATGCTTATTTTTTCCACTGTGACTGTCGATATTAGAAGTACTGTGACGAACTCATTTTGAGTACATGTTTAAAGTTGGAACTGTGTGATATTGTAGTATTTTAAAAGCATGATTCCATAGATTTCCTCGGCAATATTTCTGACACTAAGTAGTTGTGTGGGTATTTGCATCTGATAAAAAACCTTACTGACACTTAACAAAAGTGAATACGTAGAGCTTAATCACCTCCAAACTTTTTATAATATGCATTTTAACACTGTGCAGGTATATCGTGACTAGGGAGTTGTGTCAACCACCTTCATTCCTTTAAGACATTTATCAAAGGCCTTAAATTTTTTCTGGTTTAAATGCTTGTCTGGGGCAAACATTTTCAAGGCAGTGGTCTATTTAAGGCACCATTTGCTGTACCAAACATTATTCGACCATTATGATTGGTTATGGAAAAATGCAACGAAACCGTTTAAAGGCTTAACATTGAAAAACGTGCGTTATGATAGCAAAAAAATGTGGCGTGCGGCCTGTTGCAAACTCCAAACATTATTTTAACTGTTGCTCTTTCAGTGAGCAGAAAGCATGCAACCCGATTCATTCAAATGTTAGTGAGTACTTCTTCATGTTTTAGGGGAAACACGTTACAGAAAGCAGTGATGAACTTCCAATATACCTTAATCCAACTTTTTAGAGTATATCCTTGATTTTGTAATTTTAAGGGGTGCACAGAAATCCCAAGTTTTTGAACCAAAATTTGACGTCAAGTTGGTAGTATTCACTTTCCATAGCTTAATTTTTTATTGAGTTGTTTGTGTTCACTGTATTTCGATTTTTCTAATAAAAAAGCTATTAAGTTTTTTCCCTTATTCATCCTGTAATATTGGAGCACAAACCTAAGGATACGAGTGAAAACTAGAACAGCGACGTAAATAGGATTTAATTGCACGGAATAATCCGGTAATTCATGCATTCGTAATGTCTTGTGATAAGGAAGATCACCAACCCTCAGCAAAGTACCATACCGAATCCAGAGAGATATTGTTAACGACATTAATCATAAAGGTAGTTCAAGTGCTGCAGGAGAACCTTAATGAACTTGGCGTCATACATTTAATTTGTTTGTTCCTTAATGCCAGGTAAAGCTTACTAGGACAAGGATTTTCTTGACATTCGGCGGTTTCACTATCAGCTCCATGTGGTTGGCAGGTAGCTCCACCGAATTGCGGTGAAGGATTGCTGCACTGGCGCGTTCTCCGCCTAATTCCACCACCACAGCTCTTTGAACAGTGGGACCAGGCGCTCCAAGGACCCCAAGCGCCATCAAGTGGACAGTTCTTACGCCCACAAGCTCGCACCTAGAAGGCATTTAATCGACAAATCAAGTATTATGATTTTACACAATAAATTCTTTACTGCGGCAGCTGGGTCAAATTTGAAAACTCTGGGATTACTTGATAACCAGTTCAGATGGTAACTCCTGTCACATTTGAAGACATTCAGTTTAGAACGACCTGATTGAGTTTTGCACGCTTTCGATAATTTTAGAATACTTTTCAAATACTCATATTTAAACTTTACGCTAGAGATACTTAACCAAAAGAGTGAAAACCAAAGAAAACACGAAAATAGACATGCCAAACATGTCTTAGGGTCTCCCGAACTTCGCTGGTTCACATTTGGAAGTACGTATTTTACGACAAAACATCCACCTCCAACATCATATCATTGTGTTATTTGTAAAAGGCTTTTATTAAAAATGAAAGCACTTAAAAGAATGGGACAAAGCAGGTGACTTTATCCGATCTGTCATTTAATGTGCACGATCCGGTGAAGCTCCAATTCAAGTGCACTTTATTCAACCCTTGAATGCGAGGAAGTACTTACGGTCGCTTTGAACCGGCATAAACCAAGGTATTGATCATTAAATTAACTGTACAGATTGTAGGCTTGTAGTCAAATGCACTACACTCTCAGAACCATTTTTTCAATTAAGTCGCAACATTAGTTTCACATTCCAGCGGAGTTGGGTACTGATTAGAGCGTTTCCACTTCTTCATTGTGCACGATGCTTTCTTTCGTGTTACTATTAATGGCCTTTGAATGACTTAAAAGGTTTGGTCGCTTGAAATATGCAGAAGCTTTGAAAGGCAAAAATGTCAACCCACCCCGCTTTCAGGCCCAACGCACTGGCGACCGCCATTAGAGGGAGGAGGCATATCGCACTTGCGTTCTCGACGTTGTGTGCCTCCAGCACCGCACGTTCGGGAACAACTCGACCAGGGGCCCCATGAAGACCATCCGCCGTTGATTGGACAAAGAGGGAGATCTTCACAAAGCATATCCTCCATGGGCTCACCGGGACAAGGCTAGAATTTTGAAACGGACAAAGAGGCCCCAAGCTGCTACTTTTAGAGAAATCAATCTAGGAAATTTAATTTTATCCTCTGGAGTTTCCCAAAATGCTAAAATGATGTAAGTTAAGGTTTGCTTCACAAGGGCATTTCCAGTGTGCAACTGAAATAATTTCGCCGTGGTTTCTGGTAGAATACTTGACCTTTCCAGAAAAGGAGATTCTCGCTGTGTTTCCAGCGATGACAAATGAAATAGGGAAGCAAATAGAAAAAATTTCCAGACAACGGTAACATTGGAGACGATTAGCTTAGTTGGGTGGTTATTTCTTTCATACAACCTGTTTTCATGAGTACAGGCGAATATTTCTGATAAAAACGATTTTTCAGCTAATAATACACAAAACTGTTTCTCCTAGTTAATTTACCAGTAGAGTCTTGCCACTTTCGTTACCATGTTTTATTTTTTTTAATTTCTTGACAAATTCTACAGCTTATTCGTGTCCTAGCTACTACCGCTCTGGAGAATCGATCGTAATGGCAAAAATGTAGTGCTATTCATTACTGTGCCAAAAATATGACAAGTGACATTTAGGTCATTGCGCAGGCAAGGCCAATCAAACCTTAATTCATACTTTAAACCGAGTAAGGTTCCATGTCAGAATCTTGAATCTATACACCTAGTCGGCCGTAGAGGAGTCGATATGGCTAACTGCAAAACCTCATTGATTGTTAGCAGTCCTTGTTATTCTCCTGGAATCAAGTACATCATTGACATAGGTTGACTTCAAGCATTCCCAAAAAGCAAGACCACGTTAATTTAGTACCCTGTCATAAAGCTTTTTTTTACAAACAAACTGACTATGAAATGATTTCATCGAATGTTAGTCATTTGTTCTTTGTCTGTTTAATCGCATCCGAACTACCTGTAGCACTACTCGATCAGAGTGCCGTGAAAAAAATGGCTGTCTCAATGGAGGTTTAGGTCAATTTCAGATTCTAATGAAGGAACAAAACATAGCGATTGTTTCAGGCATAAAACGCTGTACATCCACAGACAGCTCTCGGTTAGGTGCATAACTGAGATAGGGCAAAAATGAACCTTCATGTCATCTCTAATCTCTTAAGTACTTTAGTCCGCATCCGATGGTGCGCGTTTCGAACAAGCTAATCCTAAAATTAGGGCAACGACAAGGTCGAATTTATCATTTCCAGTGATAGCTGAACGCGTATCGAGTTTTAGTAAAAAGTACGACAATTTATGACGTGCATTTCGTCACGCAATGTAAATAGACGGTGCCCGTATTTAAAGATAGTACGGTCACACCACCTATTTTAGAGTTCTTATCACATGTTGGTAATAGACTGAACTGGAGGCTCTCATATAAGTTCAAAATCGATGAATGATTATTAGTAAGTAAGCAAAGCTCAAGGCACCTGCTGTTATTGAGTGCAAGGATTTGGTGATGTAGCCGATTTACTAAATCATCTCAAACCATTCATGATAATTTCTGTAGGATGTTCATACCCACTCTCCATTTAGCATCATGATGTTGGAATTCTGTACAGTTACACTTGAGTAATTGCAGCTTTAGTCAGTCAATTGTTGCTATCATTCGAGCGATTGTTGGCAGTGATTAGTAGCAGCACGATAGAATTCCGCTTGCCCTATTTCCAGTTGACCACGACATTTCCCAACTTGTGATATTTTCTGCAAACCACATCCATTACCTGATAACGATTTTTAAAGACACGTCTTCATACAAGTGAAAGGCAAAAAAAACGCAAAGAAGAAATTTGGCATGGCACATTTGGTATATGTCAAAATTATCACAAATAAGTCGGGACCGTCAAGTTGCGTGTACATACTGTCTTATCAGCAGTCTATGTCGTAAAATAACAACCTTAATTTGTTGTAGCCTTGTCATTATGACTGTCAACTGTGACAGGCAGCATAGCACGTCACAATGTCATCCTTAATTCCAGACTCGTTTGAAGCATGGGATTCCCTTACAACAACATTTGGAAATATTGTATTCGTCCTGTGTTTCGAGAAACAAATATTTCTACATGAAGACTTAGGACATCACTTGGTACCATGTTAACTACTACAGAAATCGCAAATATATTGTAGGCATAAAACAAAAAAAACCAAATGAAAATTAAAATGTGGGCTTTCAAATGATGATTACACAGTGATGTTGTTAATCGACAAGGAAAATGGGGGAATTTCGGTTTACAACTCATAATAAAACATTCGGCTGAGTTAGCTATCTCCTCAAATACTACTTTTGTGTTACTATACCATAAATTCAATTGGGATTTTTCAATATCTTTGAGTTTGGACAAACCAATAAAAATTTATTTTCTCCATAATGATTGATGTGACCATCAGCTCATAGCTTCACGGGTTGATAAAACCAAAATTCTTCATTAGTACAGACCAGCCTTTTATGGCTCAAATTCAAGACCACGTGTATGAAACTTTATCGTCATGACATTGGTCTTGCTATGACAGAATCAACTTCCAGTAAGCCATTACAACTTTTTTTAATAGCATGTCTTTCCTCTGCTAAGAATTTGATCAGTCCAAAACTGTTTCATATCTCTGTTAAACCTACTTAATGCAACTGTAGACCTACTTGGACAGTTGCGCTGTTACCTCAGGCCATTAACCACCTACTTGACACATGGGATCATGTTTTCACGAAATGAATTCTACATTCCTCTCTGACACCCAATAGGGTCAGTCAGCGTTTATGTCACGACCTGCCCTTTCAGTCATTTTGGAATGCAAAGTAGACACCTGTTTTATGTGTGGCAGTCTCTTCAACGGTTCTCTCGTTTAGTTTAGACCACACCAAAGTTGGGCCTGCCTTAGTCAAAACTACGTCGATTTCAGCCTTCCCGGAAATTTACCAAACATAACTCAGCCTTGGAGCGAATTCTGACTGGCCGATGGCTAAATCCTCATTTAGCCTTATGTGACCATCCGTGAATAAAGGAAGACGATCAAAGCTATTTTCGGGCGCGTAATTTCAAGTTTGATTGGTCTGTCTCTACTTAAACTTTATTATCCTATGGGGAAATTGCCTACTTTGGCAAAGTAAAAATACGTTATTCGCAAGTCCATTTAGACGTTGACAGACAAAAGTACATTCAAGCTTAATAGAAAAAATCCGAAATGTCTTTCGAAACGATAACCGATGTTAAAGGAGAAACATAATTAGTAACAAAAAATTTAAAAGGACTTTATGTTTATTGTGAGCAAAATTGGTCAAGGGAATTCAATCATCCGAAAACGACAGCATTTCAATTCAATATTTTAAGATTACTCTCAAGGTCATTGCCACGAAACATTTCCTGCAAATTTCGTAATTTGGGAATTTCGTTTTCAAGCACACATTCCGCTTCTGGGTAAAATAATATAACGATTAGGAACATACTTTCCCCCCGTTGCTTGGAGGGGGTGAGTCGCATTTCCGACTGCGTTGGCGCAGTCCAGCTCCGCAAGATGATGAGCAGGCACTCCAAGGGGTCCATGATCCCCAAACACCGTCAACCGGACAAAACGCCTGCAGACATGGCCGTGTCTCAGTATTGTCCCCAACACAGTACGAACCTCCGTTTTTCGGAGGTGGGGAGTCACAGAGTCGCTTGCTGGAAGGCAAAAGTGTTATGAAGAAATATCAGGTGTACTTTAGTCTAACAGAAATTTTTGATGAAACTTTTGATGAAATGTCGAATGACTATGAGCAGTATAAATTTGAAGATTTAGACAAGTCATGGCTCATTTTGAGGTAAAAAAGCATATCTTAAAGTTTAAGCCATGTAATAAGTGATAGTCATTTGGGAAAAATCCATTTACTGTTTTCCAAAGACGTTAAATAATTGATACGACTAATTGTGAGCAGACTTTTGGATAAAACGAGAATTATCCAAAATATCAATACCAATGTACAAATGTTTCATTCCACACACGGAGGTAAGCGTTTCTTGATGCCGACAACTCAAGGCATTCAGTTTAGATGATAAAAAGTTCAAATGCAGCAGATTTATCATAGGAAAGAGAACCAACCAAAGTGCGTTTTTTTCATTCTGGCGCTCTTTGGACCTGTAACAGGAGGTGTCTATTCAAGCATAAGCGACATTCAAGTTATCAGTGGATAGACGTTTTGATATTCTGTTGATCATGAGCATAAAAATCGTACCATTCATTACCCATGCATTTGTAAACGTTCATCATGGATAAACAAGGTCAAATACCCAAAATTAAAGGAGCGGTAACTGAGGCTTGGCTCCACTTCGCGGTTTACAGTCTTGTTCCGTTGAAAAAATTGAACTTATTATAATTTAGGGTATCTGAAAGACCGAAGTGATCTCTTCATGCTTATTTCACAAATTTTTCGTTGCTCTCAATATGAAATAGTTTTCGTAACGTATTTAGCCAATTTTTCCAGTCAAACTCCCTTTTTGACTCCTTTGCCCAGCAGTCGTACTCAGGGTTTTGACTCTCAAGTTTTCATTTCTATTCAATGAAAATTTTGACGGCTTTCTAGGGCTCAATTTGGCATTATTTATAATGGGAGTATACTTTATTCGTCAAGAAGTAACAGGCAAAATCTGCATTACCACCGATTCAACTGATACGCACTCTCCATTTATACAAATGAGTTTCTGCATCATGTGCTTGCGAACTGAATTAACGGTTAATTTGTGTAACTAAAAATTGAGGCATTGGATTGGCATATTTTGTTCTTCACCAAATTGATACCAACACAAACAAACCGACGCGAGTCATAAAAAGACGCCTATATTTGTACAGCAGTTGAATGATTTAAAAAGCGGAAACATTTACCCAGGCCATCTTAGATTTTTTAATCAATAACTTTTTAAGACCCAGGTCCATAGCACGAAAGCTTATTTATTACCACCTCACTCTTGCGCCCCACTTCCAGCAAATTAAATTGATAGGACGCGAGCTGCTTTTTCTATTTTGGCTAACCACGTAGCTGCTCAAGTGGTGAGAAACGCTAGACGAATTGCCTCAAAGGAAACATTTGCCATTGGTGGAAATTTAGCAAATAGCGGGATTTTGTTTTGTACTTGACAGAGCAATGAGCGATTCTTTCAAAATGCAAAAGAAGTTTCTGGTCTGGCTGAAATAGTTCAGATTTATTCATTAAAAAAAACAGTGGATTTGTCAATTTATCTGAAAACAAAGTCTAGCTGCCTCCATCTTCTTAAGTAAAATTTTAATTCGGTTTATAACTGCTGTGATTGGTGTGCGAAATTGTTACGTGCCATAGGGCGGCATTGATGTGCAACAATGGAAATAGTTGTGTCATTCGAATCTCGCAATTATGAGAAACTGTGAGATTATCAGTCGATTTAATGAGGAGCACTTATTCTAACCCATTTGCTCAATTTGCCTTTTCAATGTCTTATTTACCTCCTCGATGTCTCTTTTAACCAGCCCATACTTCAAAGACCTCTTCTAAATTATTCCTGTGTAAAATCTGCTAGATCACAGCCATGATAACGCATTACCGTCAGATTCTAACCTATGTATTTAAGCGAACGTCACTTTAAGCCACTTCGTTTTAGTTTTTTTTGAGGAAATTGATCAGACTACCATCAAGATTCCGTTCTTTTTTATAATTTGCTAAAATTTATTTTCCTCATCACACAGCTGTTTATTCTAAGCTAATCACGGATTTTAGCTGTCGTGATGAATCTAGTTTATTCAAAACCATTACCACGGTTAACGCATGACTGGACTCCACGTCTATGCAGCCTGCAAACCCCTAGCTGAGCGATCCGATCCTGCAACTGTGTCCAAATTCGGATTACACCACTGCATTCCAGAGTTTATCCTGAACCGATTTTACATGTCAGTTAACGAAAAAGGCTAGAGGCACGCTACCTTTCATGCACTCGAATCATAAATACGCATACACTAAAACAATTAATAACCAATGCTTTTTAGGGGTACCAAAAAGTCGAGCCTCCTCCGTTTTTGGGATCTGCACTCTTTTCCGTATATTTGGTGCTGGATAGGGTCACAAAAGCAACAATATCGGGGCATTCAACATTACATGTTATTTGCAAAGGCAAAATTCACCAACAAAATTGAAATTTACTAAATACGTGGATTTTGGTTACACTAGGCTATCATGTTTGTTTCCAAATCTACGCCCTAATTAATCCGTAAATGCTTGTGCAATCATTAATGTTTCCCAAATTTTGTTAGATTTATTTGATAAGACAACTAATGTAATCATGAATGTTATGATTTCGTGACCATGTCAACTTATTAAACGGTCATTTGCATCTGGCTTTCATCACGAAATCTTAAGTAGTAAATTTAAAGGGATCTGGAAAACTCTGGAAAACAGAGGGCCGTCGATCACAAGGCCTTGCATGTCTGTCAATGCATAATGAAATTCAAGAACGAAATAAGCACAAGAAATTGACCTAATGGTTCACCCTCCAACACACTTCAGGTGCAACTGCTACCTGTTAGTGATCTGATTTGGCCAAAGCGGAAAACACGCAACAATAATAAGCTATGAACTACATGAAAGATATCTTGAGTCCTTTCAGAACTGTGATGACAACTTCATACAACAAATGTCAAAGTATGCACAAGAAGAAATTCATGCTTGCATTCAAGCAAAAAAATAGTTTTAAGTGGAACTGGCCAAACCAGGTCAATTGAAATGTCATCAAAAGAACAGAATACGCACGATCAATAAATTCTAAAACATTATTGAAATATAATCCATGAATGAAAACTGTCTTTAAAATGCCCAAGTTAGAAAATTTTCAGGTATTTAACTTTTCATCACGTTCATAATAAAAGCATAAGAACTTTCGTTAAAATTACGCGTGTATACACCACGATGAAAAATAGCACCTCTGATCGCCTTAACAAACTAAAGAGCGCTTAAACAAAATAGTGCATTAAGTAACTTGTTGGATGAATGCGAATGTCCATGTCTAATTTGAAACTGAATAAAGTAACACATAATTTTATAAATTGTACTCAATGATTGCTGATTTACTCCTCGCTTCGTTTCTAAATCTTTTATTTACTTTTTTTGGAAAATTTGTAAGGTTGTTTATAACGTTTTCCATAGCATTAAATTTGTGCCATTCAAATTAGTTTTAGTTAGCAAAATACACGAAATTCCAAGGGAGTTGGGGCAACCGAATGTGGGGCTGGAAGACTTCGCATTTTAACCCAATGTTCAGGCAGTGTCTGTTGAGACAGGTGGTCTAGCACTGTCATGGTGAAAGATGACGCCTTTCCGATTTACAAAGTTTAGATGCTTTGCTTGGATTTCGACATTTAGTCGGGTGAGTTACTTAAAGTACTTCATCACATTTATTGGTCGGCTACGTGGTAAAAGCACGTAAAATAGCAATTTTTCTGCAATTCCAAACCAGAAAATTTCATTGGATGTGGCGATTCAACAATTGCCATAGCTGAAATTATTTACTTCCATTTGTTAAGCTACTCTTTCTCTATTTTTTGTTATGCGCGAACTACTTTTTATATCCATTTATGACTTCATCTAAAGAAGGTTAATTTTAATGAGGGGCGGGGAGAGACATTACTAAAAAAACACGCTTCACTATGTTTTGTAATGTCAAAATGTGCTGCAACCATATATCAAGTTTTGAAGTGAATCCAAGCTTCTTTAAGCAAAGCAATGCCCTCGATTTGTCAAAATTTCGTCTCTAAGCCATCACCTTAAAGATAATTCACGGATTGGTGTTCACTAAATCATGAATAAACTCGTTGTCAATGGCGGAAGGTGGTCCAACGCAAAATTTGACATTTAGACTGAAGTAGTCATTTTGAATTAGACTAACCCGCTTCTTATCTGTTCTAAGAATAAGGAATCCATTCATTTAAGCGTCTTGAACATTCTTCTGCAGGTTCAACGCGCACTCGTTTTCAAACTCATTAAACATATTAAGATTGAAAAGTAATTTTTTTCAGTTATCAAGCACTTACCGCATTTGAATTCCGCGGCCACAGGTGACACTGCATGGTTGCCATGGCATCCATTCGGACCATCCACCTTGGACCTGAACACTAATTACTGCAGGGTCGGAAATCACTTCGCCCTGATTCGAAGAAGCCACACAATGGTAGATTCCTTCGTCTTTTTCACTCACACCCACAATTCTGAAATGAGGACACAAGTTGAAAATTATGCAGTAAAAAATACTGTACGTAAACATGAACAAACATTTCAGGCCTATCGTCAACATCTATAAAAGTATGGCTTTAGATTCGAATCAGTTAAGCAGAAAGGTAACTGATTTTGCACTGCTGCAACTTGAGGATTTTATGGCAGTTTAAAATGGCTTCTATTGTAAAGAGCTGCGTCAATTTAGTTATTTTGAGGATTTGAATTCAGTAATTAATTACGTACATACAAACGAACATCTTTTGAGTTTAAAAATTAAAGTTTTTTTGCACTTTGGCTATTTGTTGCTGTCAAGCCCGTTGTCAAATCGTCTCGGGCGCTTTTTGTCAGCAATCATTTTTCCACAATACTCACGTACAGCAAGGTAAATCATGATAGCAAACCCCAGTGGCTCCAACTAAATGAAGCTTTCTCGCTCTGTTTCTCCCCACTCCATCACTGAACCATAATTGCTTAAATCTTGCATTAATTAGCCAATACCATTTAGTGCATGATGCAATTAAAATAACGTTTTCATTGATGTTGAATAATTCTTCTACTAAACATGATGCAATGATGTTTTGACTGCTACAATTTTTTTTATCGTAAAACGCTTTAAAATGCCTAAATTTTCGCAGCCTCTCAGCAGCTCTAAGTGTGACACCTCTTATAGTCAGCGCATCCTATTGCTACAATATCACTCACACATACTTATACTAGCTCAGCTGCGAAGCACACACGACTCAACCACACTGTTCTCACCAAGAACAACTCAGTTTCACTCAAAATCTGTACAAAATGATCTTTAAGGTGAGATGTCAAAGTCTAAGAAACTTAATATACATGTGTATTTAAGGACAAGTGCATTGCAATTTGCTTCCACAATGTACGTGTACCTGTAGTAATTCGCAACCGCTGTCCACTAATGCCATCGGGCGTATGACACAATTCCACCATTAATTCCAGCCTTCGTTGATGGTAGTAATTTCGCAAGGCTTAGAACTCTACTGTATTTTGCATCTGCCTATTAGGAGAGCACACTCTGATATTGGAAGCCCTAACTGACACCGTATTTGATACTTGCCTAGATCTCTTAACTAACAAACCTTACCGAAGAGATCCATTACGAATAATTGAGTGAGTTGAGCTCATTTGTACAGTGACATTGTTGTGGTACCACGTGATAATTGGCACCGGATGCCCTTCCGCTTGGCACTCTAAGGTAACAATTTCACCGAGGGAAGCCGTTGTATTAGCTGGAGTCTTAACCAGTTGTGGTTTGCCTAAATAAAGTCAAGAACATACACATACATACATTGTACTGAGAAAAGTAAAGTAATAAAGTGAATTTGCATAAACGAACTTTCTACGACGAGCCTTAGTTCTCCCAAGTCTTCACCCACCGGATTGGCTGCAATGCACTGATAAATGCCATTGTCTGTGGACTACAAATATTAAATAATTAATATCCGAAGTAATTTGAACCATTATGACTAAAAATAAAAACTTACTCTCGCCATACTGATGACGAGGCTGGCACCATCGTCCTCTATGTTGACACGTCGATTGCTCTCTATCGGGATGCCGTCTTTAAGCCAGACAATTGAGTCAGCCTCACCACTCACATTGCAGAAGAGTCGAGCCATGTCACTGTTCCGTACAGCCTCATCAGACTGGTACATATGAACCTTGGGCCGGGCTAAGAGGCAACAATAGTTTTCAAATAAGGGAGAAATTATTCTCAAAATTGGATATTTTTATTTTGCCTCAGATATCTAAATAGGATTTTCGGCGCTTTGTTGTTGCGGATACCATTACTAAAGTTAACCTCTACATCCCATCATTGTCGATCCAAACAGATTACCAGTTTCAGTGTTTTAACGGAATAGTCGTTCATTAAATGTAATAAACGTTTTGTTCCTGCAAAACCAAAAAGTGCACTTTAATTACTTAATAACATTTATTAATTTGAGGACACTGTCCCCATGTACCTCATCTACAAGTTACATCGGATTCCTTAAAATCTTACGGTGACTGTTGACATTCATACAAGTTAATTCTATTTTGAATAGAACATGACTTACTTCTAACCAAAAGTAAATCTCTTTAAAAAAATCGTTGAACAATTTAGATGCAGTGCGTGATTTCGGAATTAACAGGTTGCGTTATTTCAAAACGAGAAGTAATTTAATGGACCGAGAGCGTTGAATATCAAGCAAATCGAAATACCGAAGTAAATGAGCCTCGTGGTATGTGTTTAGCAGTAAAACCATTGTATCTGCGCAAAAAATAATTCCCGCGATTCTCAAAATAATTACTAAAAATAATTCTCAAAATAATTACCACCATCGACATTGCTAGAATTTCAGTCTGCGTAATAGGAACTATTCAAATTCTGCATTCTAAAACAGTAGATTGTCACTAATGATACCTTTAAAGATAATCTTTATCACAGTAAATTTGCTGGTGTCTTTGACCTAATAATAGTTTTAGCCCAATCATAGTTTGTGTGCGATGAAAGTAATTATGTACCTACGCTTAAAAATTGGTGAAATAAACGTAATAATAATGTTTCTTTTGAAGTTGCCTACACAAGGTGACCACTTGCAAAAATTTAGCTTACTTTTAACTGTGAAATGGAACGTGTGTTCCCGTTTACCAGCCTCGTTGGCTGCGATGCAAGCGTACTGGCCAGAATGGGATTCCCTTAAGGGACCAATAATTAGCGATCCAATGCCGTTGTGACTTGGGTTGCCTAAATCAAGGTAAAAATGCATTTAGAGGTACGACAAAGTAAAAGATCTTTTGGCGCCAAATCAACCAGCTGTGGGACTTACTTCCTACAATCGAGCCCTTAAAGGTCCATTTAATCTCTGGTTTTGGATGACCGTCTGCAGTACAGCGGAACTGAATCCATCGGTCTTCGAATGCTTCCATGGACCTGTTTGGAGTACTCACGAATGTTGGAACGGCTAAAAGTGCAAGTAGGTAAGTTGAAAAGTACATGATGAAAACAAAACCGATTTTTATCGAAGTAGCTTACTGAACACGGTAAGGTAAGTAGAATCAGTGACTCGATCCTGGCCAGGTATATCCGCAATGCAGAAGTAATTTCCCGCGTCCTCGGGCTGCAACAAAGTGTATGTCAGTGATATTTTAGTATATGTGCAATCAAATAACAAGTTCAATTTTAATTTAGGTAATATTGTGTGTTTCAGAAGCTGTCGCATAGTTACTCACCTAACCACTACCACCTTCATTGCCTGATCCTGCCATGTCTGTAGTGTACGTCTTTTTGAAAGAATAATTCCCCTAGTAACCATTTCAGGCAGATTATTCTCCGGTATTAATTTAATTGTGTATCTCCTATCCTGTTTACGGAAGTACACGCTACGTAACCAGATTTTCATATCAAGCACCAGCATGCGTTTGTAAAAGTGAGAGTTCGTTGCTTCTGACAGCATGCAATTGGGTGTTTCGTTAAAACAAGTTATGTGGGTATATGCTTGCTAGTAGGGACATTGAGACCAATGCGTATATTGTCCATTAGCGTAGAAAGTTTGAGAGTTTAATATCTTTGACAAGGTGCAAAGCACTGCTCCATTGTTATTTATAACTAAGAAATCTGCAGCAATTCTAAGAAAATGAACTTGCCTGCAAGTTATGGATAGTAAGTCGGGTGGGTGTCTCTAGTCTGGCTCGTGAACCGAGGGCAATAGAGATGGGCTGGTTCTTAAATTCCCAAGTAACCTTCGGTATTGGTTTACCCTCTACCTGACACTCGATGGTCACGGACTGACCCTCGTAGCCAACACTCGACATTGGCATCACCACCCGCGGCGGCTCTAGAATAAAGAACAAATTGGGATCGATAAATCACGTGGAGAGACATCTCATCGTTACACGGATTTTGTTCAACTTCTTAATGTAACGCATAACTACAATCTGATTTTAACCAACTATTCAATTTGAAGCAGCAGTTGGAACTTACTGCTGACGATAACGTTGAACGAAAGTCGATCCTCGCCAGCAGGGTTCCTAGCAACACAAATCCATTCGCCTTCATCCTGTGGTCTGAAAAGGAAAATATTAATAAAGACGGTTTCACCGTGCCAGACGAGTTCCAAAAAAGGACAACAATCACGTGTTCCAGTTACCTGACGTAAACATCGACGCCACCTAAATGATCATGTTAATATAAGTTGTATTCAATTACACACGCCTCAACTGGCTCTGCACACACACACACATGTACCCTATTAAGCCCCACGAAATTCAATTGCCTGATTCCTGAAATGAGAACAAACTTAATGTTTGAGGCCTTGAATAGCCACTAAGCAACTGGAGTCTAAACAAGTGAATAATCGTAAGCACCTAATCTAGTGTAGAAAACTGAAGTAGCAGAAAATTGATGGTTATTGGCAAGAATTATTTGAACAAGTTAGATAAATAAAGTTCTACTACAACGATATTTAACAACAAAAATGCCTAAATTGACTTTTACGCTACCAATCTGCCATAGGTTATCTATGTGAACTGCTATTGGTCTTACAAGAAGCCCGTCCTAGCTTTTTCGAGGCGCATTATTCATTGTTCGGTATTCTTATACAAAGTTGGAAAAAACAAGTTGCATTCAAGAAACGTGACCGAAATCCGATGAACAAGTCACTTTAGATTAACTTTAATATTTAGATGGTGTACCCTAATAAGGTTTTCATGCGGCAATAAATTCGTTAATGAATTATAAGGATGTTGGTTATTGGCTATTGGCACCACGTTCACACAGTTAACCACATTTTAAATCTTCGTGGTGACATGGCGATTTGTCAGTAACTTAGCAGAAGAATAATTAAGTGCTAGTAAACGCTTGCAGATGGAAAAGATTAAGACAAAAAGGTGGTTTGTCCAATTGCGGTTTGCTGGTCAACACTTTCGTGTGTTGTGCTACAAAGTAAAACATTGGAAGAAGATATGAGAAAAAGACTCGTCACGAATTCCGTTTTAAACAAGTTAATTTAAAGGCACTATACTGCAAAATGTAATGACCCTCCACCGTGAAAATTTGTTTCAGCTCAAGCGAACAGCCATCTAAAAATGTATGACGAAATGGCCTTATTTGTCAAAAAAATATGACTTGGAAGATTGCACTTGATCAACTTAGTTCATTAAATATCAATTTAGAAGAATCAAGGATAATGTCTAGGGTCCTAAAAAAATTTCCTCCATCAAAAAGCATTAATTTAGAATATGCATGAAACGTTTAGTATTAAGCGTTCTAGAATTCAAAATGTGTCCAAGTACGATAAGTCGCCAAATTTACTCAATCAATGTTAATATTATAGGGCCAGATTTCCCAACTGCAAATGGTTCATGTACATGCTCACCTCAAGATAAATCTCACATTCAAAAATCTGATTGCTTAAGTATTGACGAAGTATTTGATAAGTCAAGTAAAGTAATCATTGCGGAATTCGAGTGTCGAGTTCCTCCAAATTCTCCCAAATATTCCGGATCTCAAAGTTATGGGAAATGGTGCTGTGTTATCACAAGCATAATAGGATTAGAGAGTATTCCACTCTCAAAATTAAGTTGTGATTTTAATCCTAACGCATAAGAAAACAAAATACTTTCTAAGATCTCTTACAACCAGACAGTTGCGTTAATTAGTTGTAAACAAATGCGGTAACATGAGAGACTACTACTATTTCGTCGATCACTGAATTTTCATAAAGATCTGGATCTCAAATGTGTCCTTAAACACTACTAAGATAGTGTGGTAATTCCTTGAACAAACATTTTCAGTCAGTAAGCTAGTTGATCTCTTTGATGCTTTGCCCGAGAAAAGCATGATTGGTCAACTAAAACGCGCCAAAAATCCGACTCACTTGAGTGCGTTAAAAATGAAGAGGCCTGAGTCGGTAGTGGTGTAGAAGCTCTTAGTGCGACTGAAAGAGACTCCGTGGCGTTCCCAAATGACAATGGGTTTGGGTATGCCCTCCTCGACCTCACAGTTGAGTTGAAGAACGGAATTTATTCTGCCCGAAGCCTCCGTTGTTGCTGGACGCACGAGCTTCGGTGGAACTTAAATATCAAAAGAAGAACAAGCATCAATAGTTGAGTTATCAGAGGGGATTGGTTTTCGCTGACACTTTACTGGCTCGCCAATGTAGAAAATAAGGTTTACACTCTTTTATCTTAAAGACCCGCTTATCATAATTGAAATAATAAGGACTTCAATCACTGTAATAATTTGCTTTAGCACTCGCATAAATTGCAGGCTTCTTCTCTTTGTCGTTGTATCGATGTGAGAGCGCTCGCCTAAGGAGAATCGAACAAAAATCTGTCCTATATAATGACAGTGCTAAGCTCATATTCATAAACAATAGATACTACTTACCCAAAACCTCAAGACTAAGTACAGCGTTCTGATTTCCAGCTTCGTTGCTGGCTGAACACCTGTAGAGTCCCGCATGACCTCTTGTAGCGCGTTCGATTAGTAGACCCTAAAGTAGAGTTACCATAAATCACAGACTGCTCCATTATTTTTCAGTGGTAATTATGGTCAACTTTTGACAAATAACTCGAGCTGCCAAAATCCCAGGTGCCCAAAAACACACAAGTGCACTGAAAATCTGCTTGAATACAAATCGTGATTTTAGTCTTTCCAGGCCATCCAATTCAGGAATCTAACCCTACTGCTAAACCTCAATTTGCTTTTTTTCTTACCCATTTGACTTAGATGAAATCAAATAAGCAATGGTGTGATGGGTAACGTTATGCCCTGACCTCTACTACGTTTCACATTGGATCAAAATCAGTGCTTATTCGGCCTCTTGAGTCCCCGTTGATCTAGTCAACCCTCAACCCGACTTCAAACTAGACCCTCTGATATATCACACCAATGTGAGCAAATCGCCGCCATTCACTCCCTCAATTCCCCAAAACTGTCTCAGTAGGCTAACGAACGTTTGAGTCACCATGTGAATCCATGGTCTTGGCATTCAGTTCTGGATACTTTAAGTCTTATCAAGCCACAATGGCTTTAATAAGTCAGTTGGTCTATTCTGAGCCCGAACCCCGCATTGGGATTTTAAGAATGGATTATATTTGTTGTGAATCTAGTTGATTAACACTCGTTAATCCGACCACTGGAGACTCTGACACAGGGTCCCGGACCCTCACGGACCCTCAATTCCCCCCTTTATTAGCGCAAACGGTTATTTTAGATTATCCTCACACCTATGTCTCGATGTTAGCCCATCAATGATACACATCTAAGCTATAAATACACGCGCGAACGCCACCCACGACACAAACTCGATTGAGCTCTGGAGTGAACGTTTGTGCCCACGTCCTCTAGGGTCTTCTTCATCGTAGGTGTCATGGTAGCGTAATCGAGCCAGATTCAACTCAATAGCCCGGCATGATTCAATACCTCATGCTGGGGCCCACAATACATTAAATGCGTTACAAAATTAAATTAAAGAACTTACGAACCATTTCGGTATTTGAATTATATAACATTCCTTTTAGAGGCCAACAGTAGTCACAGTGAAATTTTAGGGAACTAAGTAGTTGATTCATTAAGCTTACCTTCGAAAGTGTGTAACCGGAAAACCGGATTTGTTTTTTTATGAGAGTTGCTAAATATTGATTATGTGGCTGACCTAACTTATCGGGCTCACATACTCACCTGTTGAGAAAGAACCTGGAATCCGAGAATTTCGTCTTGTGTAATCTGCTGTCCTGACGGAAGGCGCCACTGTATTTGAATCGGTGGGGTTCCACTCACTGCACAAGGCAGCACAACCTGATCACCTTCATTCACTACCACTGGAGCTGTTGTAGTATGAATAACGGGACGTTCTAAAACAATGAAACATTATATGCACCCTCCCATCGTATATAAATAAAAATACAGCTTGGAAAGGTGGTATTACCTATGATTTGAATATCGACGGTCTTCGAATCGGAACTGATCTTATTTGTTGCAGTGCAAGTGTACCCTCCAGAGTCCTCCTTGCGTGCATCCGTTATTGTTAATAGACCGGTGCTAAAAAAAGCATCTTTGGGTGTGCGCTTAACTGGTCTAGATATAAGGGTAGTAATTCTGATCAAAACCAACGAGGCAACTTAAACCTGTGACACCCCAATGATGATGATCCTTAACACTTTCACTTACTTTCACTTTTGCAAAAACGCAAACACCTCATGTAAAACAATAGGTAAAGAACTACAAATGCATTATGGAAATCAAAGCATTTAGTAAATAAAAAAATTTGATATCTTGCAAAACCATCCTATCTTGAGGATTAGAACAAATGTTTATTCTTTGTCGACGCAAATATACGCATAGTCTGTCAGATGTGTTTTAGTTATTGTAAAGCAAGTTGTAATTGGCTAGGAAGTTGGAATTTCACAAATCAAAGCGACCTACGATATTGAATCAGGGTAAGACAATAACTAAGATTGATGCCAGTCATTGATAGCAAAACGTAGCTGTTTAAATCAAACAGAGCAAGTACCGTAGAGTTTCATGGTTGAGTTGTACCAATTTACTGCTAAGTCATGGCGAGAGGATCAGGAAAAAATCCTTGATATAGTTTGAAATATATAAGCTTTAAGCGTTCGAGGTTCCGTTCAATCCATATTGTCAGGCAGTTTACGTCAATTTAATTTACTTAAATTAAGGACTATGGCTTCCCGGGTCGTCACCCAGAGTATTAAACAATTTCACAAACCAATCATTGAATATTAATTCTTATTATTAATTAAATTACCTTTTCGATCAGGCTTTTACATACTCAAAATAAAATTAAAATAATGCAACCCTATTGAACTCACGAGAGATCAACATTAGTGCCGATTCGGAAGAGACCACCAGTGCTGCGGGTCCATTCAATCTTCGGCTGTGGATGCCCTTCGGCGGTACACTGCACAGTGAACGTCGAGCCCTCTCTTTCACGCATTTCAGCGCGATCCAGACGGACCAGTGGAGGCACTTGAAGTTAGAAATTTCTCGAACGTTATTAGAATGACCAAGATGTTGCAATCGTTTTATAAAGCCATCTTACTAATTATTTCTAGTTCGTAGGTCTTAGAGATGTTACCCACTTCATTGTGCGCAATACACCGGTATTCTCCCGAGTCTTTTTGTCCAGCAATGAAATGGAGTAACTTATTATCTATTTCGAAGTTGTAGTGTGAGGGCATGGTGTAGGGTAGCAAGGGAGAGCCATTGTAGTACCACGTAACAACCGGTGGTGGTGATCCAGACACAGGACATTTGAGCCGCACCTGAGAGCCAATTTGCTTTGTTATCTTCTCGCGGTATCGTACAAAGTCAGGTGGAAAACGTGGAGAAGCTAGGAATGAAAACAAGGTTTTAATAACAATTTAATTTGACTAGTAAACACGGTTCTATGAGGCCAGATAGCCAAAAAAAATTAGTTTTTAGAGTATAGACCCTAATACATTGAAACCTAATGTAATAGGAGACTTTGTTATTCGACTTTTCTATCTAAAATTAAGGACAAATGTGCGTTCGAGCCAGGCTTTTTCGTTGGGGCACCAGTATTCCACAGGACAATTTTCGGCATGTAATTGAGCTTGATAATCGGTCGACTCACACATTATTCGTTTCACATAAGAGCTGTAACTGCACTACTACGATAGTCAACACCATTTGTACGGTTCCATTATTTCTACTTTATACATAGATCGCATCAGCGATCAGCCAACCTAATCTGTCAGGTCAAGGTCACCAATTGCATACGTAAATGGACCCATTTGGACGTATTACGCGGCCTTTGGCTGAGACAGGAAAAATTTCTCTGCATGAAGTCCAGCCTTTGTTTTGGCAATGAAGCGGGGCTTGTGCTAAACAATGGATTTGCGTATTGGTTCTTTGAGCGTTTTTGGTTACTGGCAGATTGTTAGTCGTTTCACTTCATTACACTAGTGCACATTGACCAAAAATAATGCAAAAATAAGCTTTTAAAAACCCCATTCGACCGGCAACGACTGCGTATACATCAAAAATGTGAAAAAAGTATTTTTTATGTAAAAGGACAAATATTCGAGCGTTTCAAATTTTTCCGTCATAATTACAGGTAATGTTTGTAGATTTACATTATTTTAGTAACAATAAATACACTCCTTAAGTTGTTTATTTAATTTAAACCTGCCCCTTTTGCTTACGCCGTAACAAGCCATGGGATCTTGTAAGGCTTCATTTAATAATCCAAAAATCCCCTAATGTGTTTTTTCCACATCAAGAATAATCAGACTGTTATTGAAAAGCAACGTCTTGCAACAAAATTATGCAATAATATCAAGAAAATCACAATTGGTTTTAACAAGTAATTTACTCGAATCATGTGCAAAATAAAACCTACATATCTAAATCTTCTATGTTAGCATTGTTATTGCGTTTTCATGAATTTTTTCTGTACTGTTAGTTATAAATGACGCATGCTGAGAATTTGACCAAACGGAAGCCTCACTGCATGCTATGGGTTTTTATAGTTGGTTTCGAAGCACTAATGACTAATAACTCTGATCGACTAACCCCTAGTGATGCAATTTATATCGACAAGTAAGAATATCAGAAGATGCATCAGACAGTAAAGAAACGGGTATCTTTTTCGTATCTTTAATGTAACCCTGGTAAATTTTGGTCAGCTTGCCGCATAATGGTTGAGGTGATTGCTTGGTCAAATGATTCTTCGCAAAGCCTGAAATAAGTAATTGATACTCACCAGTAACAGTTAGCTGGAATTGGTGGCTGTCTACTCCCGCTTTGTTCTTGGCCTCGCATCGGTACATGCCAGTCTCACTCGGGGTGGGTCGGACGACAGTGAGGACCTGACTTCCATCTTGCACTACAAAATAGTCACCATCCTCTGACATGAGAATCGGTGATCCATCCTTAGTCCAAATAATCTCTGGTTTGGTGCTATTGTAGTCACGAATAAGGCAATGGAATGTCGCTGGCACGTACTCGCGCGTTGAGTGCGCCTCAGGGGAGCCTTGTGGTTTGAGGATTGCTGGCGGCACTGCAGAAAGATTAGATTTGTATGGGTTAAAAGGAAGAACAAAGAGATTGTGTCAAAGTTACCATTTTGTCTAGAGAACATGGAAGTCAGTAAACGAAAATAGGAGCTTGTGAAAAAAACTATGTATGCTGCCAGAATTGTGTTAAACAATTCAAGGACGAAAACAATGACTAGAATGAGGTTTGAGGAAATGAAAGAATAGACGTAAAAAATAAAACAGGAGGAAAAAAGCAAGGACAACAAAAGAGAACGACTATCATAGAAATAACACTGGGACATAGGTGAAGTAAATTCAAACTTGCAGAGAACATCTACGTTAAAAACGAAGAATGTGAACAATGGAGAGGGGTAGAGAATTTAAAATTGACAGCTTCTATAAAAAAGGACTCACTGATCACAGTAAGGTTAAATTTCTTTTCAATCGCTTCACCACCATTGGTAGCCATGCACGTGTAATCTCCAGCGTCACTTTTTTGAACATTGGTGAGTTGAAGGATCTGGTCGCCTTGCAGCGGCATCACGTTTCTTGGCGGATCCTGAGAAGACCCACTGGTAGCAAACGACCCAGGCGGGAACAGCTCTACGTCACGCTTGAACCAGGTCACTCGTGGTGGAGGATCTCCAGAAACTTCGCAAGACATGTGCACCGTCTGGTTTTGAATGGCCTCAATCTGGATCTTCCGAGTTGGATCCAAAAACCGAGGACGAACTATAAGGAAAATATTCAGACATGTTATGCAGATCGGCAGGCTATTATTAAGAGAATTTGCAGTTTCCTTAATCAATATTTTAATTCTAAATTACAGAGCATGACAGCCAATGGGATTTCTAAAATTATTGAGTTTGATACCAATAATTACTACTTATTCGCAACTTAGAGCTAACTTGGCTTCAACAGTTGAGAGTTCAAATTTGTTTGGCATGACATCTTAACTTTACCTGTTACAAACTGGCTAAGAACTTCTGACTTTCTCATCCTTAATAGAAAATCAACACTTGACAAAGTTGACGACCACAAAATCGTGCAAATTCTGGGGTTTTGTGTCTCTGGTACTCAGAATAAACACATTTAAAACATTACTCGTTGATATTTATCGAAAGTATCAATTGCCTTGTAATGTCGGGTAATGGAGCTCTTCTAGATGCAAACTGGCACGATCAAAGAACTCTGGATGGATGTCTCCAGGCTGTCTTTCCCAGTTCATAGCATGCACATACATAGAACCCTTGACCGATAAGTTGTAAAGGCTGGGACCGTTTACGAGTCGTAAATAGCACAATTGCACATATATGTAAAGCGAGTTCTTGGGAGTGCAGAAAACCGTGTTGATTCACGACCATAACCTGGTTATCGGTCTTTCATCGTCACGGCGTCAAATCGATTGTGCGGAATCGTTTGTTCACTAGCCCCTGTGCATATACCTTATCCGCGGCTCAATCTATGCATCTGGCTATTCACCCGGTTGTACTTTTACAGGTTCACCCAGATGGCTCTGATCAACAAACGCCATTTGTCAGACATGACCTTTTATTCACTACACCCAACTCAACTAGTCTGAGCCATCTAGTAAACGGTTGTTCCTACCACCTCCAGTCTTGCCTGGGCCTTCAACAAGTGCTACAGTGGTGACACGAATTTAAATCTCGGTGAAAAAAGCAGGCAATTGTTGGGGAATCCAAGTCTAATGTAACGTAGATTAACAGTGTTTACATACATTGTTATTTTAGACCATTGTGTTTAAGGGAAATATTCTGCGACCGATCAAGCAGTCAAGGTGACATGGGTGGTTGCGCGAAAATGTGTTTCGAATTGTTACTACGTCGTTAGTTTGTGTGAGTGACCAGCATCGACAAGGTCATTATCTAACAAAGCGTTTGACTTCTTCCTTCCTGTCAAGCATATCCATTTCACCACTCTTTACGCCGCTCTCACTATGTAATTAGGTTGGAAATAAATTAGAACCGTGCGTTCTTTCCACCATACTTACAATGAATGAAAATCAGATATTTTCATAGTTCTTGTGCTAGATATCATCAGCGTTCAATTCGGCCAAGGTGTTTTAGCTGAACTGAAAGTCTGACTTATCTGATAGAAAATGACCTTGAAGAAACGTAGTAAAAGTGATTTATAGGTTAAGTGAAAAACCTGACCTACCAAATACAAGTACCCGGAATGATTGTGATGTTCGGCCGACCTCATTAGAGGCCACACACTTGTAATCTCCAACGTCAGACAAACTGACTCGATGGACTGTGAGACGGGAGCCGTCCGGGGAGGAGATCTGAATATTTGGTCCACTCACCACAGGAACGCCGTGGCGCTCCCATGTCACAATGGCCGGTGGGTCTGCGAATCCCTGGAGAGGACAGTCGAGAAAACGGGTTTGATTGATGAACCAGTGAACTTCTGGCTGAACGTTCGACGTGTCGAAACTTGGCGGCACTAGTGAGAAAAATGCAGTAAAATGAATTATTGGACTAGAGGAGTGCGGGAACTAAATCACAATTGGATGACTCCTGTCACTTCAGATTACTTTTCACCTTTAAGTTATTCTGGACAACCTGTCGCATGTATTCATATTGGAAAATCCAAAATTACTGAGATAGGCCCTTTTTATATAAATTAAGCTAAAATGCCGACACATGCTTTGTACTGATTTCAAAATAAAGGAAGAAAGCTGCATCCAAAATCTTATATTCGAGCACTTAAAAAGGGTACAAACACAACCCCGCTCTTTAAATGACCTCAAAATTTGTTACGGACTGCGAGAGTGGAGCTCTTCCTTAAATTATAAACCACGTTGATACAGGTTGACTATTTAGTTACTCTCCCATCCGTAACTAGGTTCTTCTAAGCATGGAATTGATTTGACATAACCTAACCACTTTGCATGTCGGTCTCCCAATGCGTCAAACCTCGTGACATCTCTGCTAGACAGCACAAACCGACTCAATTGGCTTCACTTTCAAGCAAAGCTTAGGCGTTTAGCTAACTCGATGCAGATTATGTTGGAGACGATCATAGGATCTGCATATCAACTCAAAAACAAATATCATTTGTCATTAGATCTTTTACGAAGAAATGGTAATTTAAATATCTTGCGGATGCATCAGCTGTTCTAGAATTTATACTAAAGGCTCCCGCTCACCTCGTACACGAACTGTGTACTTCATTGTGTCCCAACCGATTTCGTTACTTGCATTGCATTGATAGGAACCTGAGTCACTTTTTTGAACACGGAATACGGTCAGTGATTGGAGATCCTGTGAGAAATGAATGGACAAATTTTATGTTTATTGATACTCACGGTTTACGCAAGTGCCAACTGTGAGGTTTACCAAGGTATTTGGGTAAAATTGGGCCGAGATGAAATGTTCACTTAAACGATTGTGGAAATCCCAGCATTGAGTTAAATTGCTTGTGTCCAGACAGATTGTTATAGATTAAGCTGAGGATATTCGGTCAGAAAATGTGCGAGAACGGGGGTATATTCACCTTTCATGATCTAACGTCAATTATCGAAATATGTTAGCTGCATTTTGATGAATCATATGGAATCACAACGACAACCACAGTTCACGCCTGACCGCTTCTCGTGTTCACGCACCTCCTCAGGCGCACAGCTGAGCCACGTGACTTCATCTCTGTCCCATGCATTACAGTGCGCAAAGACTTTTCAGTTCACATTTTTTGGGGTTTAAAAGGAGCACTTGCCTGAGAAACAACGGCACGCCTGGCGATTAGGTTTTTATTGGTGGCACTAGGTTCGGAGTTTGAAGATCCTTGTTCACCGATCTGATGTTCAACCATGGTCTGTGTGTTAGGATCAAGATCAGTTCGAGTAAAAACTAAGCGAGGCTCAGGCGAACCTGTGGCCGGGCATGGCAAAACCAACTCGTCACCCTCTTTGACGACATACTCACTGCGAAGGCGACCTCTGTCGATTCGTGGGGGCGCTAAAAGAGAAGGAAAAATCGAAAGACATTAGCACGGCTCAGAAGCCACTTTGAGTTTTGGTCAAGCTAAAACAGGCACATGCTAGAAGCCTATTCACTGTTTAAATGTAAACCGACATGTCCCGATGTGCTGAATAATTTTCGACTCTTACCTCCCACTGTCATATCGACGCTGACCTCCAAGGAACCAACCTCGTTCGAAGCAACGCACCGATAGCGGCCAGCATCCATTGGTTGAATAGACAGAATTTCCAATTCACGTTTCTGATTGAAGAGACGGTAGCTAAAATCGACGATAGGTGTTGACTTTACCCATTATGGCAAAGTCTAGTCAAGGCATAGCCATTAAGCAGTACTAGTGGTAATGTCTTCTCGTAAACACACTGTTGTAAAGCAGGACAGCCGCAAGCGATAATCTTGGGACTATTGTGGTGCTTTTTAGCTATGGCACCTCCTTTTTTCATTATCGCATAACATCCTTTTCGGCTCCCTCACAACCCTCCACGAGGTAAGTACTTGCACTAACACTAGCCAATGTACATGAATAAAGGGCCAGGCAAATCAGACTCAAGATAGACTATTTCGTGAGGCACCTATCTTATGATTTTTAATTAGAAGACAGCGATTTTACTTTAGGTGCCATTGCCGGTGAGGCACCTTAGATAGACTTTTAAACACAAACACACACATGATACTCTCTCTAAAGCTTCTCAACTGAAAATGCTTCATGATTAGTCTTGTCTTATTACTCCATATATTGTGTGGTATCCCGTGCATTAAGATAAACTTTTGGTCACCAAATATCATATTTGTTTGTTGATCTTGCGTTGCTCAAAAAACTCACTTTTAAATATCGCGATATGTTACAGTAATGTCCATTTTTAATTATGAATGGTTTGAGTATAATTTGTATAAAGTTTGTCATTTATGGTAGCTTGGGATGTCATATGAACTAATTTATATCGACGTCATCGGAAGTTAACAAAAAGAAACACATATTTGCTAAAGTTCGGTTCAAACAGTTCGAATAGTTCGTCGAAAAATGTTTTCGTATTGCCCGAACTTCTTTTGCGGTATCTCTTTAGCTCAGTTTTGCATATAGTTAAAAGCTCCTCCTTTGCGGTGCTGTAGCAATTAAGCAAGGTGCGTTGAACTGCTGTTAGTCTTACTCTCAAGTGCAGCATAAAACGGTCTCACGAAGTTAGGGTGAGTTCAGGTTTCCACTGAACTTCTTGAATTCAAAAATAGGTAGATTTACCACGACTTTCGTGACCTGGATCAAAGCTATTCCTTCAAGTACTTCATCTTTCAATTTCCTATGCTGTAGTTTCTGCAGTCCCAGGCGTCGTTCAAGTTTTCAAACGTTACAGTTATGTTCACGCACAAATATTTCTTAATCCTAGCTTTCTTTATTTTAAAAGCATGTACACGCAAATTACGTTAGCATCAAACCGGTTCTTAAAAAAAAATTACAGCTGCGAATCTTGAGCACTTAGAGTTATTGAATTTCCGAAAAAGTAAAGGCATAAGTTTCACAGCAGATGGGTAGTTGCTGTTAAGAAGCGCTATCCTTCTAGGCAATGCCCTTGTAAAGCAACACTTCGTAAGTGTTGATAACCAGAATACAACCAGCAACCCTTGGCTTCTCAGGCTGGCGTATGCATCAGCGCGTCTACTAGTCAAAGAGAGTACTGGGAAAAATGGGTCATGAAAAGACATCTCTGACCCGACCCCAGAGCGTCAAACTGGCTCATCATATTGCTAACTACTTTACTCACCCCACACCAATCTTGACCCAAAAGCGAATATCAAGCAAACTTTCAGTGAATTTAATAATAGCAAATTTAAAATAAGTGCTATCAATTTTACGCATTTCGTGTCAACGTGGTGCCGTTCAAACTTCAGATCACACTCAAAGGAGGTTAAGGAAATGGGTATGGAGTAACAAGTTTTATGGGAAGAAGTCAATTCTCTTCTTTGCAATCGAAGTGACAGGTCACAGATCGGGTTGATCTAACTTCACTTGCTAATTATGTAAGCACACATGTCTTCCTAAAAAATCAATCTTCGAAACTGGAGCAGAAAAACTGGAACTTGAGCTACCATTGCGCATTCAGCAATAGCCAACCGCTTTTTTCATTCTTTTACTCGGCTGCATGGGTTGACCGTCGCATTATTACAAATAAGTTGATACGATGTCTGCTGAATTTGACTAAATCTGCGTTTTGACTGTGACATGGTTGCCTCGTATTTCTAAAGCCATTTACTGGCTGAAGCTCAGCAGTCAGTAACGGATTTAGGCCCGAGACTTAGAACACTAGTTTCTGGGTCTTCTGTTTGCCTGAGAGCATTGAAATATTTTATGGATACAGTGCCGTAACCTAAATGGATTTTCTGTGTGCATTGTAAATAATTTGCAAAGGTCACCAACCGATAAGGTAATGGATCAAGTTTGGCTCCGTCCTTGAACCACTCAATTGTTGGCGTCGGGTTGCCGATAACAAGACACTCGAGGATAACGCTGCTCCCCACTGTCCGCTCAATGCTGTATTGACGCTGACCGTCCCCATCCAATCGTGGAGCATCTAATGGAGGAAATAAGCTCAATAACGCTCTCTTTAAAGTTAGCCATTTGTGCGATTCCGCAACCACAGGAGGGCTTTCTAAATAGATGTGACAGATTAGAACTACTGTTCTTCTCTTTCGTTCCTGGCTTCCGTGCTTAATGAATCACTTTTTCGAACTATAAAAGTCGCCAACTATAGAGGACTGATAACCCCACTGCCTATTGGCGCACTTCGATCTATGTATCACAGATAGGGATGCGCTAACAGACGACACGGTTTTGTTTCCAAATAAATTCATAATGCGCAAATTGATTAGACGCAATCTTGGTCATCGGAGACAGAATATGAGACATCATTTTGAGGTATGCTCGCGTATTTAATAATGAGGTATGAAAACCAATTATTATTCAAAATAACAGCTAATATTTCGTTATTTCGATTTGGGTAGTCTTGATTATATACAATAAAGTGTTAATGTTAATTAATGGTACCCCAGTATCACATAGTTAAATTGGCGAAGGTAGAAAATTGTGTTCAAGTAATTTTCATGGTTTTAACCATTTCCTATAGTTTAATTTAAGCATAAAAAGCATTACTTCATAGACGCTGTCTAAGCTCATTCGTCCAAACCAAAGGAGCACATTGCGGTGAATTGAGACATTATTTCGCCAGTAGAATGATTTCTAAGAACTTGAATCACATACTTTTCAAACCAATGTATTCAGTTAGTTCACTCACTCGATTACTTTATCTTTCTTCGTCTATTTATAATGAATGTACAAATTGCCTCACTGAATTTTGAACCTTACTGTAAAAGTTCCGGCAAAAACCCGCATATGTAATACTGGGTGCTAAATTGAAGACTCAAACGCAGCCAAGCGTCTTGGCCAAAAAGTTTGTCAGTTAATTACTGGACAAGTTTTCTGAGTAAAGCAGTGTTGCCAAGCTACTAAACTCATGCACAGCATTCGACACTATAGACAGCAGAGGGTGCGGGTAAGCTGTTTCTCTACGCAAAATTAGAAAATTAAATAGTGCAAATAAACTATGAAAATTTTACTATTTACAAAATATGAAGTGAAACAAATATGCTAATGTCTTCATGTCAGTCACTCCTGTCACCTTCTAAGTGAGTGTGGTCGCCAAAGGTTGACCCAATAAAGCATATGAGACTAACACAGAGGGTGGAGTTGAACTTACACATGACCTTGATATCAAATTGTTTGGCAACCTCCCCGTAAGGACTCGAAGCAATGCAGGCATAGCGTCCAGCATCATTTTCCTCTGCCACAGGAATACTCAGATGGATGCCGTCGTCAGAAAGTTTGAGGTCATCTTGAGTCCCAGAAATTGGCAGCCCGTCCTTGGTCCACCGAACGACTGGCTTTGGTTCTCCGTCGGCCACGCAGAAGAGCGTGAAACTTCCGCCCAAGGACACGCTGTGGGTGCCCTCCACACTTGAGTAGAGGAATCTCGGCGGACCTAAATAAGCGCCAAACTTTCGTTTTTTTTACTGGGCGGTTCCGGCGTTGCTGATAGAAAGTTTAATTTATAATTAAATTTGCCAAAAAAGTGATCAAAACGACAGAATACGAGAGTGAGTAATCAGTTTGTGGATAAAAGGGGCTTTGGTAAAAATGGTTACTTTAAAGGAACTTTTACTCTTGGAACGGAGCGTAAGTGAATCCCAGCTTTCCTGCTTATAAACCTCCTTATGCCTACATTATCTCACCACTTTCATGAAGGAAACCCCATCTTGCATACAGGTAATTGAAATCACCCAGGATTATTCACAGCCGAGAAACTAACTTGTAGATCATGCAATAATTATTCGCAGTAAATAGGTTATTTTACTATTTTGACGGTGAGGTATGAAAATAGGCAAACAAATGGACAACCAGGTCAATAATAAGTTATGCGGGGCACAGGTAAATATATATTTAATGGCCGTTGTGATTTAAGGTATTTTCTGTTCTCGCCATTCCACTGTACTTCCCTCCTCCATGTTGTGTCCTTTGTCAATAAGATCCAGCTGGTAGCACTTCTCAACTTTGCAGACAATAGGACAATGTCCATTTTCGCAGCTGTAGCCCACGAATACTCCCTTTTTGCAATAGTCAGCAGTGCAATTATTAAAGCCTACGAAGATGGCGAGTACGAACTCGTTATTGTGGAGAACATTATCGATACCCGATTTCACACTTCTATCCTGAAGCACACGACTATCAATTTTCTTGTGTCTAGGGTAGGAATCGCGATTCTCAAAACAGCCGTCACATGAGCAGATGATCCTGCACTTTCCGTGCGTGCAATTATAACCCCCGAGTTTTCCACCTTCACAGTTCAATTTGTCGCAACCTTCAAATACGGAATTACCTGAACGAAGAGATTTTTCCAGATGAGGATAGGCAGCAACAAAATCAATGACAATAATTTGGATGAACGACTTCATGTTTATTCCTGAAGCATTTTGTCAAACCAGTTCATTTTATTGGCGGACTTTATTGTCAACAATCTATAAAGCGATATGCTCAATCGGCCTGAACCAGTGCACTTGCAGTGACTGAGGCGGGTCAGTTTCAACGCACTATGACCTAAATACAGTTGTCAGTTTCTGTCTTAGCACTGTAACTTTGTCATTAAAGTAGCACGAACTAAGTCGGTAGCAGTTAAAGAAACGAATAAAGCAGTAAAATATATGCAAAAAATGCTGGAAAAAAGAGACAGGACTGTACTTTACCAGTGCATATACAAGGAGGAATGGTTTTGTAGAGTTTGACGGTGAATGGCAACTTTTTTATCAGAGATAGTCCTGCAAATAGGTCGTAGGGCCGAACAGACACCCCCGCCTATTGGTTCGGCCGAAACTAAAGCACTTAAGAGGTTGGTTCGTCATACCTTTGCGAGCGCTATCCTGGTGATGAGTGACTATTTTACTCAAAACCGTTTATTAATCAGTTAGGCTAGTTTGTGACTGGACTCGTTTACCGGTCAGAGGAGACTGCTTAAAGCTATGTTTAGTTTGGGGGCGTGGATTCCTGGAGGGTGAGACCGCGCACGAACGACATGACGTGAGTGAACTTGCAACATTTGCCACAGCTTACCAACTTAACAATGGGAAATTAGCTTCAAAAGAGGAAAAAGCATATCCTAAACGCCCTATAAACGTATGAGCAAAATTTTCATTTTTATTCATTTTTCTAACGATGCTCACACAAGCATGCTTAAGACCACACAGCCCAGCGCCACTTATTAACATAATTACGGACTTTCGTGCGTTCTCATGGTCACACATAGAAAGACATGCAACATCTCGTGTACGTTTAAATTGCAGGGCCCCGGTTGATAAAATTTAAATAAATAAACAACAACGATGCCTCCCAAGTTATCGTGGTCACTAAAAAGTAGACAAAACCTCTGGGTTGGTATACAATCAAGTAAAATCTAATTTACTATGATTGGAACAAACCACCCTTAAGTCAAAATGTTAATTTCACGTAAACGAGTTCCTTTTTCCTCCAAGTATTGAAAAGTACCGAGATATCTGTGAGTAACATGGCAACAAAAAAATAGTCCCAAATGAACTAATTAACTACCTGATTAACAGCACAACTGAATGTTTGTACAATAAAAGCATGTTGACAATAGATGGTTGACGAGTAAGCAACCTTCGATGCGTTTAAATTCGCTGTCGGGAGTGGTAGTCTGCGCAAATTGAAAATGCTTACAACCCAAGCGTTTTAAACCAGTACAAACCGCCTCGAAGGTTGAACTGAATCGAGGACGGATTATGCTGTCAATTTGGTACGACTACATGAGTTGCTTCCAATAGATTAAATATAAAATCAAACCTTACACCTTCACCATCAGATTATCAGTCATGAAGAAATTTACAAATAGTCTTTAATGGTTTAACTCGTAGTGAATCTTGTTGATTCATATCCAGTAAACCGGTCGTCGCAGCTTCGAACACATGTCGCCCTTTTACACGGCGTGCCCGTCAGTCACGTGAGGCCGCTCGTTCATTAACCTCTCCGCATGTACCACCACCACCCGTTTTAGTCATGTGACCTCACAGACGCCTATATTCATTTTTTCATGCCCACTCAACTGCAAAAGTACACGACGCAACTTGGTTGAGCTATCTAGTTAACGGTCGTGCCTGCCATCTCTGGACCTATTTTGTCCCTAGGTTACTTCGTGTGGTAAAGGGCCTCAACAAACTTATATTAATCACGACGACCAGGAACCGCCGTTTGATGTTTTTGCAGGTAGGGGCCAGAAGGTCAATAGGCATGGAATCGTGAAGTCGCCAGGCTGGTACCAAAAATTCACTGGACAAAATTGAAAGTATACACTTGATTAATATTCATTCCTTGTGTATGGTTTGTATGCATTTAGTTTCCCACTAAAAACGATATTACTTTCTTGCCAGTTCTATAAGTCTGTGGGATGAAAACCCTTGATCCATGCATAGATAGAATATTTAATGCAAATCTCACAACAGTCCGTGAGGACATACGTACTCATTACGATAACATTCCATTGGCGTTTTGTGCTTCCAATTCTGTTAGTTACCACACATCGGTAAATGCCTGCATCTTCGGGTTCTGCATGATGTAGGTACAGCTGAAACGAACGATAAACTGATTAAAACATATTTTTACCACACTTCCTGAGTTTTAATCTACAACACAATCCCACGAAATTCAAAAACACAACGAGAATGTTAATATCTACAAATGAATCCAAATACTTGTTAGGGGACAGAAGGCTACCGACGATTGATCGTATTTATAACCCCCACGTCTATAGCGTCGTGTGGTGTGGTGGGTAGTTACATGCAGGGGTGGCATGCGTATTTTTGACAAGAGGTGGCGAGTTTGGAAATCAAACTTTAGTTTGATTAACATGTTGATTTGTTACAACTCAGTAATTTGTTACAAGCAGTAATTTGGAACAACTCTAACCCTTTCTGCCTAAACAGAAAGTTGACAGCATACTTCTCGCAGAGGCAGCCCAAGGATTGTTAAATCTAGCGGACTTTGCTGTTCAAACGCTTCCCTTCTCGCCTTGTCTCATCAGCGTTTTCACTGGGGCCATTGCTATTCACGCCCATAGTAAAACAAGTGGATGACAAAGTTGCTGCCTATAACATGTAACCAAGAACAACAACGATAATAATAACAGTATTGAGATAGTGGTGCCTTACCATAGCATTTCGCATTGACAGATTTGCTCTGGGAAAATCGTATTCGTTTATTGGCTCTCCAGCCTTGAACCACTCCACTTTGGCGTCCGGGTAGGCATCCCAATCACAGGACAGTTGTGTGTCCCCATTCATAACTATTGGGCGCGGATTTTCTCCTTCATGGCTGATAATTACCGGAGCGTCTAAAAGTCCAAAATTAATAAATTATTTATAGAAAAAGGCCAAGAACCCTAACCTCTGTCCTCAAATTCGCGCTATCTCAAACAAGAAACGTGCGACGACATGCTGATTAGGGTGATCACACTGAGGGGGCTTTCTTCTAAAACAACGTGAATGTTTTAAATATTTCATATGGTCATATATCAATTAAGTATACTAAATTTATAGAAAATACCGGCTTCTTGGAGCTAACCTTATTATTGCTGTGCTAACTGCCAAAAACCAATGAATAAAATCGACCTGATTTTGAAATCAGACCCAGGCCTGTGACAGACAGTATCAAGCCTCATGCCTTTAAATGCAGGGTAGATAAGTTGGTGTCAGTGAATAAAAAATTAAACAATACCAACAAACAATATTTCACTCACAGACAATAACTGGATCAATAATACGTCTGGCCTCCCCAGCCTCATTAGTTGCCGTGCAAGTATAACGTGATGCAGTGGAATGTGTTACATTAGCAATAAAGAGTGCACGTCCATCTTCTTTAATCTGAAACTGTTCGCTCTTTGGATCGATTTCACCTTCGTGCTGAAAATCAAGGTAGATAAGTATGCGAAACTTTGAGCGGAGGTCTTTTAAGGCAAACAAAGCATACCGACATCCATTTGATCTTTGGCACCGGGAAGCCGGTGGCATTACACCAAAGAAGAGCAGACTTGCCACGGACGAGCTCGGGAGTGTCGTGATCCAAGCCATCCTCAAAAATCGGTTTAGCTGAAATAAAGGTCATGCGCTAAAATAACCAATTGAGTATCACTATGCCGATTTATTTTCAGAAGGCGGAATAATGGTAATTCAAGTGTTAGTTCGTTTGACTCGTGTTTCTGATTACTAAAGTTTGGAGGCATAGGGCATTCCCGATGCACACAT